ACGCTCCACTAACGACTTTGAGAATGCAAATATCCAATTGCTATCTAGCTAAAATCTACTTAGTGGAAGTGTTTCCTCACCATCATTTTCATGAATCAGAGAGAAACCTTATGACACTTAGATTTATGGTGTATGAGTTCTACCCATATGAATTTGTCAAAACCATAATCACAAGACAAGGATAATGACAAATCCAAAACCATATGGATTGAACTCAATCTTAATTTCTTGCCACCTGGCAGCTCAAGGGCCTACCATTGCTTCCAAGTTGTTGTGCAACACATTGAGAACTCTAAGAACTCATATGCAAAGCCAACTTTAACTAGAATGGGCACAGAATATGTCAACACGATAGGTTATAAACCTCAAGTCGTGTGCTAGTGAAGAACTTCAGGTTTCATTCTTGATTAGTTCTTGAGAATTTCAAGACCTTTAAGACTCCCACTGTCCTCTTGACCTATAAGACTCCCTTGTCAAACATCCAAGAGATAGTGTGGATTCTAATCAAGACAAACACTTCACACAATTGGCCTAGTTGGTCTTTGTTTTATCCAAAACATCACAACTTACCAATTTCAAATGTACAAGAGTAGAAAACTTTTACTCTTACATTTGATAAGTGTTTTAAACCTTCTTTAAGACATGTCACTCAATTACAATCTTGGAGTATGACTCTAAGACTTGTATTGGAACGAAGTATGACTCATCTTCTTGATTTAACCATTTCAACAATTCAAGATCCCTTCTTCTTAGTCATAAGAATGCACTAAGACTTCCTTAGAGAACTAATTTTGATATGGTTTCTTAATCATTAAGATGATCACAAAACTGATACTAAAGTACTCTCCCATCTTTTCAGATTTGAGAAACTTTTATCCTTCTGCCTAATTTGATTCTTCTTATTCGCTCTGCTATGCATTGGAACCTTTTCCAATGTCTCAGAGTTACACTTAAGCTTGTAAGTATAATCATATTTACTGAGCTTTAGTAAACTATGACGAATAGCCTTATATCTTTTGTGGTGGACTTAATCAGTGCACATGACTATGTACTCGATCCCTTAGTCCATTACTTGACTCACACATCCATGTGAATAAGTAATTAGTCTTAATTTTTCCAATACTTGAAAGTTCTCATTCATCATGCTATACAACTTGCATGATTCCAAGTCCGGTCCAATTGAGACTTGGGTGATGAGAATCTTTCCTTATTTGGTAAATTTAGACATTACCACAAATGAAAGAATCAATTTCATATTTCCACTCTTGCTATTAATGGAATCATATAAGCAACAATTTTTCCTCAAATGCCATTGTAAGGATATTTTAAAATAAATAAAATCAAAAATTTCTTTTATTTTAAAACTATGCGGAAAAACTTATCCTTACAATCCATATGAAAACTTGTTGTTATCTATTCCTAGCAATATCTCATAACTCCTAAGAAGTAGCTCAAGAATCCGATTTCAAACTACGCGATAGAAATCCATCTATGCGATCAGATTCAGCATATTCTTTCTTTAAGTTCCTTTACTTTTCTTTGATTCTTAAAACATTACCATGTGACCCAGTCACATCATGTATCAGGAATCTCAGAATAGAAACTTAACAGAGTTAGAGTAGTGGACTTTACCTGAAGTAGAGTCAATCTTATTGACTTTAACATCCTTAGGTAAATTTGGCAGCTTCGCAAATAATGACCCTTTCTTTGGCAATATAAACATATGGACCCTTTGATAATGGTACACGGGACTATCACAGACTTAGCTTTTCTCTTTACCATTTGTTCAACCGAGTTGACTATGGCCGATCCCTTTCCATTGGGAAGAGAATGCTTTTTCTGGATTTCCTGTGTCACTATTGTCAATGTCCATAAAGTTTCAGGAAGTTGATCTTAGCAAATAGATAAGATCATTAAGGGTCTTGTCATAGTCTGTTTCATAGGTGTTCCAAAAGAACTCACTATGTGACTTAGAAAGTAATTGACCCACTAACTTTCTCAAGACTTTGACACCCAACTCTCCCGGCTTGTCAATATGTGACTACATCTCCAAGATGTGATCACACCTAGACCTTGCCTTGCCATAGGGCTTGAGTGACTTAAACTTTTCAAGAACTTGTGGGTTAGGGAGAATAATTGGAGGAGGAGAAAGAAGTATGATATCCATGGGACATCATCTTCATTAGGAATGCTTGTTTCAAGAGATTTGGGAAGATCATAATGTCTAAACCAGACATCTTTTGGGAGATATTCAAGATAGTTGATTTTAAAGTCCTTAATATGACACCCAATATGAAATATTAAGGCTAGGACCCAACAAACTATTTTATAACTTAGAAGAGGTATGCCGTAATCCAAGCTATAAAACAATTTGAAGGTAGGTGAATGACGATTCACCAATTTCCACCAAGATAAACGAAATGTATTATTAGGTTTTAATTGGATTTGAAACTCCTAGATCTTTTGAGATTCATTGAACTGTTCAATGGCATGTTTCAATCTCGAGTGTGCCCTTCAGGTTTTGTGACTGGGATGCCGAGGATCACAAAACAAGGTGTGAAGTAACCATGCAAATTACTGGTACCCTTAAGTGTTTATCCCTCAATCGATGTGCCGGTTAACCACACACGCTCCATCGATACTATGATAAACATTAAGTTACCCTTTGCCTACCTTGTTAAATACGAGTTAGTGTGCCGGTTAACCACACACGCTCCACTAACCGACTTAAACAAAGTGCAAAGTGTAATTTCATGGATTAGCACCTTATTCACATTTTCCTAAGTAACTAAGATTGGGTATTATTAGAGTTTAGTTACTTAGTATTTATCATTAATACTTTTAATGAAGGGAGAATTAAGTCATGTCAAACCCGTTCGGCTAACGACCCTCCACCAGTCAAGCAAGCGGTGGGTGAGAGTGGACACCCATTAAGTTGCCATTTTATAGGCAACAACCTTATACCCACCTTATAGACCGGCTTCGTGAATGAGGCGTACTAGCGGTAAGACCGACTTTACTCTTATACATATAAATATTATTAACTTATAATATTATAAAGTATAAGGGTTGAATTTTAACTTTTAAAATTCTAAGGGCTAACTTGGAATTAAAGTATTCATAAGAGAAAACTTTACAAATTCCAAAACTTGAGGGCAAGTTTTGAAACTATTCAAAACTAATTAATTCCATAACTTATGTATTTAAAGTAGTTTTAATCCAAAAACTCTTCAAGTTCCATAACTTGTGGACAAATTATGGAAGACTTTAAACTAATAAAGAATTAACTTTTCTTTATTTTATAACTTATGGAATTAATTAAGGTTACATATTTTATTTATTTATTTATTAATGAAGTGACTCTTGAACCTCCATAACTTAAGGACAAGACTCTTCATCTTTTGTAACCATTGCCAACTTTTATGAGTTTTATGAAACTTAAATGTGACTTTCATATAACTTGAGGACAAGTTACAAAACACATTTTAGAATCAACTCTTAGATTAATTTGGATTGAAAACAACTTTTTCACTCAACTTTTCTATTAATCTAAGCAACTCATAAGAACAAGATAATTCAAATCAAACTTTTTCATGTAATTAGTCTAACCTTTAAACTAATACAAAACATGAATCTATTGACAATTATCTTTGAAAATGGATTAGCATGAACATTACCACATTAAAAAACAAGTTTATAAGTTCAAAACAACTTAGGGTAATGTTCCTAGTCCATTTCTAGCCAAAAACCTCGAAGATATGCTGTCTGGGGTCCAACTCGTCGAGTGCATGAACACAACTCGGCGAGTTGGATGCATTTTGCCTTGGACTCGTCGAGTCCCTTCATGGACTCGGCGAGTCAGCTGGGCTGACAGCATCAAAACTCGATTTTTCAGCTTCTATTGCAGGTATAACAAGAAAACAAGCCTAGGCTCTGATACCACTGTTGGGTTATGAGCATTCTAACACTCCTAAGTGTACATGCAACCCTAAATACCTTGGATCTATGTTTTCTCTATTATACATGCAAATATGAACATCCAAGGTATTATCCTAATCTAGCATACAAAATAATGGATATAACAAGATAGAATACATACCTCTTTGATAGTGCTTGTCTTCATGAAGCTTGAGTGCCTAGTGCCCCAAGTGTGACACCTCAAATGGTTCACACAACACCATAAGCACTTGGAATAACTTAGAGAGAAATTAGAACACTTCATGAAATCGTCTAGCCCTCATATACACACATAGTCACGATTTCTTGAGCCATGGGTTTCTTTTATATGGTGGCTATTAGGGTTACACCATGTAACTCATGACTTTACCCATTCCTTATGCTCCATGGATTTTAACCTCCATGGAGTATCCATGGGTCACCCCATGGACTTAGTCCAACATAAGGAATCTTGGATCACAAGTCCACATATATAAGAATGAATGATTTACACAATCAACCCATATATTTAATTAGTCTTCTTTTGACCACTTAATTAATCCTAGATTAATTCTTGATCAATACTAATTAAATAACCTTATTAATATATTAGAACTTATAATATATTAACAAACCTTAAGTGTTATTTCTCTCATTTTAGTCTATCCAAGTGCATGATGCCATGCAACCCAAATGGACCATGCCGGGTCGGGTCAAGTCTTACCAATTATAGTTATGGACTTAGACATTAATCCAACAGTTTCAACCTACATCCCTATGATGTATTTATGGTGGTAAGTAATTCTAGATTTTGCATGAATATTAAGTCTATCCATGGACTACACAAATTATTTTGGTTTCGAGATACTTGAGTATCTAGTGGTTTCGAAGGTACGGTTGTGCATATAAGTGAACTCATGCTTTAACATGAAATAGGGAAAACACACAATTGTTTCATTAATAATTACCATGTTATCACACAAAAGAGAATCATAACGAATAGTAGTGGGGGGGGGGGGGTGGAGCTGATCCCAATCGTGCGTGGTGCTCAGATGCCCAAAATATCACGCCATAAGGTTAGCCAATTCAATCATCTCTCGAGTGATCTTTTTATTCCTCTGCTGTGCTCGCACTGCTCCGCAAAGAGTGGTTACGTTTTCTTCCAAGAGGCGTAGTCGGTTGGTGGAATCCTCGGGTGTTGTGGGATGGTCCTGTATCATCTCTGAAGAGTGAGGCTCACTAGGGACTTCCTCAATGTTTCCTTCTTCTTCCATCTCCTCTTTGGATTTATCGTAGTAATAGTCCGTCTCTACATACTCCTCAGGTCCTAAACCTGGATCTACCCATTAAACCAAACCAGGTCCTCCTTCGATCAACCCATTGGCCACAAGGGCCTGATAGTAAAGGACACCTTGTTTGGAATTTTCCATGATGATTTCGCGGGAAACAGAGGGGGTGAGAGGTGTGTGAGAAAAGTGTATGTAGACAGCATTCCAAATACTCCTATAGTATTTTAACTGTTTATGTTTGAGTTCTTTAAAGCTTTTTTGATACCACGTAAGTTTCTAAATTCACTACCTACCATGATCACTCCCAAACACATGTTGACCGTATTTTGAATAAATATAGTTGATCAGGCTCTATTTACATAACTGTCCGGGTTTAATCACGACATTCAATTTCCTCCAGAGACTTTTAGTGTTATTATATTAATGCATACCTAGGTATGTATTTTAATTATTTTGTTCAGAGTGTTTTAGTCGCATTGTATTTATAGTCCCATATGTTGTATGATTAGATATGCCAGTTCACTATAAACAATGCTTTGATACTAATCTGTCACACCCCCGAACAAGACGGCGGAAACGTCTAGGGGCTTGGGTGACTTCATTCTTGTAGTATCATCACAGAGTATATAATTAAAACATAACATCATCATCACACATGTAATATCACAACTATCCTTATATAACAAAATATTCATGATATCTTTCTGCCCAACCTGCTCAACAGTTACCTGAAAATACAAGTTAATTTAAAAGGTCAACATAAAATGTTAGTGAGTTCATAAGCATGTTTTAGAAAATGGTTTGTATTACTTTGTAAACACCAGAAAACCCGATATTTTCTGAAAAACAGTTTGATATGTTTGTGTCCGATCTTGTATTAATGCATGTGTGTTAATGTTTCCTAGAAGGTAAAGGGAGTATGAAGAGAATGATAAAAAGAATATAAAGAGAGTATAAGGATAATGACCCCAAACAACCCGATGTTGTCTGCGAATGAGAATGCTGGTATCTCAACCCCCGAGGTTGAGTACTAGATAATGGTTTCCCGTAAATTTTATAACGTTAATTCCTCTAAGTGACTTGTTATTACCATACTAGATAATGACAATTTCGCATGTCTTGGCGTTTTTCGGATGCCGATGGAACAAGGTAAGGTTTTTTTCACCCTAGACTAGCCTATTCTAAATGTAGTGAACAAGTCATGTGTGGGGTGTCACCCCCGTATAGATCTATACACAAACTCCCTCTCTTCCTCCAGGAGAATCTAGTTATAACTACAGGCTATGATTGTACACTCAATAGGTGTCAACCGACATGTATCACTAGATCCTTAATCGGATTTACGCGAAAAGATACACATAAGGTATATTTCTGGCCCAATAAACATGTAAGTGGACAACTAAGGCCCACTAAGCATGTAAATTATTTATAGGCTCAAAAGGAATGAGAATATCTATCCTAGACCTAATATTTATGTAAAAGGACAACTAAGGCCCATTTAACATGTGTATTATTTACAGGCTCAATAAGCATATAAGGAGTATCACACGCCCAATAAACATGTAGGTGGACACTAAGGGCAAATAAACTTGTAAATTAGTTTCACTCCCAATATGGGTAAGAATGACATATTTTATCCGTTTTTGGTTACGTTGAGTGTATAAGCTTTGTGGGTTACCAGATTGATGCAAAAAGCCCATTTTTTTTGAAAAAAAAAATACATTTTTGGTCCTAAAACCGAAAATTTACACTTATGGTACCTTTTTGGTAAAAATGACAATTTAGGTCCTTTAATGACAAATTTTGAATTTGACGCTAGTTTTAAGAAGAAATAACATTCTTAATTCACTTTTGTCAAAATATCATTTTGGCTTAATTTTTATGAACATGTGCATTTTCGGCTCATTTATATATAAATTCATCTTTTTGGCCCAAGTTTTAATAAATTCACATTTTTAGTCCCTCTTATCAAATATTTATATTTTTGGCACAACTTTTTTGAAAATGACATTTAAGCCTACAAAAGTCCAAAAAGTTACAATTTTGGAACAAGGCCGTGAGAAGCCCAAATAAAGCCCAATTATGAATTTTTTTACATTTTTAGTCCTTGTAGGGTTCCAAATGTCGTAACTAAGCATGCTTAGCAACAATAATCCTTTTTGAACCCCTAATAACTGTGAGTTACATAACTAAGGAAGAAATGAAGTTAGATTTTGGGCTTAGCTTTGGTTATACTCGAAATTATTAGGCCCATTATGAAAGTATTCGGCCCATTGGGCCCATATGGGGGTTTACAACCCAATAGTGACAAAGAAATGGGTTTAAGGCCCAAAAGTGATGAGGAAAAGGAGTATACGGCCCATTAGGGTTCAAGAAACCATTTACGGCCCATTAAGGCCCATGATAAAAAAGTTAGACATTTTCGGCCCAATAAGGCCCATGAGAAGTCTTATGGCACAAAATGCTAATATTTAATGAATATGGGTCTATTTAAGGCCCAAATAGGGTTCCTTAACCCAAAATAACCAAATTAACAGTTTACTGGCCCATAAGGCCCAACAAGAGGACCATGGTCCATTCTGAGTTTGATTCGGGATATTAGGGTTTTCAAACCCGTAGTTGAGTATATGAGATGCAATGAACTAGGTTTTCAAACTTTACTCATGAGTTTTGATTCAAATGGTTGATTTTGAATGAGTATGTTGTTGGATTAATGTCTAAGTCCATAACTATAATTGGTGAGACTTGACCTGACCCGACATGGTCCATTTGGGTTGCATGGCATCATGCATTTGGATAGACTATAATGAGAGAAATAACACTTAAGGTTTGTTAATCTATTATAAGTTCTGATATACTAATAAGGTTATTTAATTAGTATTGATCAAGAACTAATTTGGAATTAATTAAGTGATCAAAAGGAGACTAATTAAATATATGGGTTGATTGTGTAAATCATTCATTCTTATATATGTGCGATTGTGATCCGAGATTCCTTATCTTGGACTAAGTCCATGGGGTGACCCATAGATACTCCATGGAGGTTAAAATCCATGGAGAACAAGGGATAGGTAAAGTTATAAGTTACATGGTGTAACCCAAATAGCCACCATATAAAAGAATTCCATGGCTCAAGAAATCGGCGACTATGTGTGAGAATGAAGGGCTAGCCGATTTCATGAAGTGCGTATGTTCTCTCAATCTATTCCAAGTGTATTTGGTGTTGTGTGAAGCATTTGAGGTGTCACACTCGGAGTACTAGGCACTCAAGCTTCATGAAGATATTCTACATCAAAGAGGTGTGTAATTCTAACTTGATATATTCATATGAATCTATGTTCTTATGCTAGTTAGGATGAATACCTTGGAAAGTTAATATTTGCATGTACAATAGAGAAAAACATAGATCCAAGGTATTTAGGTTGCATGTACACTTAGGAGTGTTAGAATGCTCAAAACCCAACAGTGGTATCAGAGACTGTTTTTTTTTTATACTTGCAAAAACTGCTTAAAAATAGAAGTTTTGTGTTGTCTGGACAATGGACTCGGCGAGTCCATCAGGGGACTCGACGAGTCCATGCCTTAAAAGTGGTCAAAACGATCGAACTCGTCGAGTTGGTTCTTGCACTCGACGAGTTGGACCCCGAGACAGCATATATTCAACTTTTTTGGCTAGAAATGGACTAGGAACATTACCCTAAGTTGTTTAAGAACTTATAAACTTGTTTTTGATGTGGTAATGTTCATGCTAATCCAATGTTAAAGATGATTGTCAATAGATTCATGTTTTGTATTAGTTTAGTGATTAGGCTAATTACATGAAAAAGTTTGATTTGAATTATCTTGTTCTTAGGAGTTGCTTAGATTAATAGAAAAGCTAATTGATTATGTGTTTTCAAACCATTTTAATCTAACAGTTGATTCTATAATATTATTTTGTAACATGTACTCAAGTTATATGAAAATTCACATTTAAGTTTCATAAAACTTATAAAAGTTGGCAATTGTTACAAAAATGAAGAGTATTGTCCTCAAGTTATGGAGGTTCAAGAGTCACTTCATTAAGTATCAAAATGTGTAACCTTAATTAATTTCATAAGTTACAAAATAAAGAAAAGTTACATTCTTTTATTAGTTTAAAGTCTTCCATAAATTGTCCTCAAGTTATGGAACTTGAAGAGTCTTTTAATTAAAACTACTTTAAATACATAAGTTATGGAATTATTTAGTTTTGAATAGTTTCAAAACTTGCCCTCAAGTTTTGGAATTTGAAAAGTTTTCACTTATGAATACTTTAATTCCAAGTTAGCCCTTAGAATTTTTAAAGTTAAAATTCAACCCTTATAATTTATAATATTATAAGTTAATAATATATATATATATATATATATATGTATATATGTATAAGAGTAAAGTAAGTCTTACTGTTAGTAGGCCTCATTCACGAAGCCGATCTGTAAGGGGGGGGGTATAAGGTTACTACCTATAAAATGGCAGTTTAATGGGTGTGCACTCTCACCCACCGCTTCCTTGACTGGTGGAGGGTCGTTAGCTGAATGGGTAGGAGAAGGACTATAATTCTCCCTTCATTAAAAGAATTAATGATAAATACTAAGTAACTAAAACATTTACAAATCCCCAATCTTAGTTACGTAGGAAAAAGTGAATAAGGTGCTAACCCATGAAATTACACTTTGCACTTTGCATAAGTCGTTAGTGGAGCATATGTGGTTAACCGGCACACTAACCTGGACTTAACAAGGTAGGAAAAGGGTAACTTAATATTTATCATAGTATCGGTGGAGTGTGTGTGGTTAACTAGCACATTGATTAAGGGGTAAATATTAAGGGTACCCAATATATTTGCATGGTTACTTCACACCTTGTTTTGTGATCCTCGGCATCCCAGTCACAAAACCTGAAGGGCACACTCGAGACTGGAACATGCCATTGAAAAGTTCAATGAATCATAAAAGATCTAGGAGTTTCAAAACCAATTAAAACCTAATAATACATTTCATTTATCTTGGTGGAAATTGGTGAATCATCATTCACCTACATTCAAATATTTTATAGCTTGGATTATGACATCCCTCTTCCAAGTTATAAAAGTATTGTGTTGGGTCCTAGGCTTAATATTT